TTCCTGTGTTAAAATACACATAATGCAAAATTTACTATTTTAATCATTTTGAATGTACATTTCAGTAACATTAAATATGTTCACATTTGTTATGCAGTCATCACGACCATCCGTCTCCAGAACTTTTCCATCATCCCCACACTGGAACTCAGTGTTCATTCAACACTAACTCCTCTCCCCTTCCGCCACCCCTGGGTCCTTGGTAACTAACCACTGCCCTCCTTTCTCACGTTAGTGGAATCATACAATATCTGTCCTTTTGTGCCTGGTTTACTTCACTTCAGGAAATTCGATTTTATGCATACTTTTCTAACAGGTTGCTGCTTTTGGGGACAGTAATAATCAAAAACTTACCATTGTCCAAAGCCCTAAGTCTGAAATTCTGTCTAAAAGTGCTACAGTATTTATTAAACTAAGTGACTAAAATGACGTAGTATAATATCTTTGAGGAAGAGTTCCACTTTCAATTTTGTTGTTGTTTAATATATCTATTGTAAGAAAATTTTTCACACGTGAAATTTTAAATTTTCTTAAAAATTCCACTTTTGTTATTGCTGTTGCACTTCTTGTTTGGGGATCATTACCTGTGAGGTCTCAGTAGGGATTGAGGGAGATTTAGCCTCCCTGATTAGTGGAATCAAGTTTGGTGATGTGTGAGTTGTCCCCAGAAAGCATTAGTATAATGTCATTGTCTTCTCCTGCATTCTTTAATGCTTAGCCCCACCCCCAACCGGGCAGCACCCCAGGGTCCTCTTCTGGAATCCCCTAGAGTTCCTAAGGGAGAAAGAGCATGTGTCAGGGGATAGACACATGATACTTAAACGTCAGAGTTAGTACTGGAATACTGAATTTCCCATTTCACTTCCAAGAAATTCCCCATGCATTGTTGTCTAGAATTGTCTTTAGAATTGCTTCTTCCAGTGTTTCTTAAGATGGTTTGTTCCACTCCGAGGGCTGTGCCACACTGCCTGGTGGACTTGGAGATGCGGAGGTGGAAACAATGCACGGGGTTGGCTCTGGGCTTTTTGTTTGCGTGTCCCTGTTTACCTATTCATAATCATGGATCCCGTCTGCTGCGTGGTATCGTGAGGCACGCATAACAGCACCTCCTTACTCCACCGGGTTGAGAAGGAAGAGCATGACGCCGACTTTCTGGACCTTCCATCAGGCAGTAAGAGGTGTAGTTGGTGTGTGTCAGGATGTCAGAGGGCCGAGGCTGGACCCACGTGTGGCCGCTTCCGGGGTCTGCCATGTGCTTTGCAAGCTGCAAAGTGTTTCCTTTAAAACAGCTAATCCTGTGTGACAGTCTCCTGCATTTTGTTGTCAGAAGCTACACGCTGCTTTCCTAAGAACTAATTGAAAAAGGGAGCCAGTCTGCATCCCATTCCTGCACACCCTGAGTCATGAAAACATATTCTTTTTCTTTTAAGCAAAATTGAAAGAAAGAAAAGAAAGAGAAAGAGAGAGAAAGAAAAAGGTTGCCATCCAGTGGAGGAAGGAGTAATTCCCAGCTTCATTCAGGAAAAACGCAGGCTGAAATATGCTTAACTATTTTAACTTGACTGGGGATTTTTACCACCTTATGGGCTTTTTTTCCCTGACATCCGGAGCCAAATGGGTGCAGTGTGCCTTTAAGAAAAGAGGTGCCTCACCAAACTTCGCTGTAGTTGTATCTCACCATTTCGGTAGGGAAGGAAAGTGTTAATTTCTTATTTGTACACTTTTTTTCCCCCGACTTCCTTCCTATTCACTTCATTAAATCTAGAGGCAGTTCAGCATGGGAGCCGTCTGTATGTTGAATTAGGGCTCGCACTCTTGCGCAACACGTCACCAGTCGGAAACTGGGGGTTTGCTTCTGTGATTTATTTCATTATTGTGCTGGTAAAAGGTTTGGAAGGGAATTCTTTTTTGGGGTAGTACTTTAGGATTGTATAGCAAGTTTTTGTGTTTTTTTTTTTTTGTGCGCCCCCCTCCCCCCCAGTGCTGAGTTGAGTCAGTTGAGCCAGTTTAATAAATAATTTTTTTAAAACAAAAGAACAGTTTAAAATCTCCATGAATGATTTTACTTACATGCAGGAGTAATCTTACTCTACTCTTTATGTACGAAAAGCATTGGGAAGTATTTAGTGAATTGATTTACATTAGAAAAAGACCCTTAGAAATCACAGAACATAAAGCACTGCATATGGATGTGTTTGGGGGTCTTTGGGGAGGAGGGAAGATGTTTTGTAGCTCTCTGCATTCCTGCATAAAACCTTAATTTAAGGGGAATAATGGTCAGTACTTTGTGTGTTTCCTTGTAATTCCAGAACCTAAATTTAATAAGAATCTGCACGTATTAGCAATTGTAATAAATATTGTTTCACTAGTTCTGTTTGCAATCTAATTTGTTTTTGCTTCTTAGCTACTCACAGATTTAGAGATTTAAAAGTCCAAATATCACCAGCTTATGCTTTGTTCCCTGTTTTCAAAATTAAGGGGGGTGAGTGTAGAAATACCCTTTTCACAACTTCCCCCCTCTTCATTTATCCCACTGAAAAGAAAAACAATGAAAAATTTTACAGCATGAAACTGAAAGTGAAGTGTCACAGTTGTTAGAGATTTTCTTTAAAGAGAAGACTAACATATTGTATTAAAATATTTGAAACTGAGAACATGCACATTGCTTTTACTTACATGCAGTTAATGAAAAAAAAATTGTCTTCTATTTAAAAAATCATTTTAGACTGCTCCAAAACCATGCAGCTTTTAAAAAATAAAATAAAGCACTAAAATGAGGTGTAAAATACCAAAAGAAGCATACCTTGTTTTAATTTTTAAAAATTAATGTGAATGTTCATTTGTTTTCTTATTGGCTTAATTGTTAAAATGCGAGCAAGAATCAGAAACCACCTGAGCTAAAAATCTCTAATTCTGCTGCCTGGAATAATAAAGGGAGAAAAAATATGATAAGTAGTTGTCAATATTAAAACAGGCTGAAGGAGGAAGGCTTCGGGCCTTGTAGTAGGTAGAATGAAACAGCAGATTTGAGTATCCACAATCCTTTCAGTATTAAATTTTCAGTAAAATAAAATTACTTGTATATGAAAACATAGCCTTTCCCCAGCTCTCTTTTTTTTCCTGATCAGCTGATGAAGAGACTAGCAGCTCGCTGCTTTGCTGGCTTGTTAATTTTATCCCCACTAACTGTGATTTCCGATAGCCGGCCTGCTGATAGTGGTAAGGTAAATATCCTTTTTCGTTGCCGTCTTGAAGATTCAGTAGAACTACATCCCAGGCATGTGTAGGTGTGTAACACATCAAAAGCCGGTGTTCTCCGTATTTCTGTGTGCAACTGGGTGCTTGAGAAGAGCAATACCATTAACTGTTGACAGCCTTGCATGCTGTATTTATTATTAGCATGTTCAGCCTCCAAGATATGCGGGACAATTTCCTTTTCTTAATCTTCGCTTAGCTGCAGTGTGTTTAGCTGTATAGTGGGTGTCCTGCTTTTAGGCAAATGAATATTAATGAAATAATGTGGAGCTTTTTTTTTTTTCCTTTTTCCTTATAACTCATCAGATCTTGCCTCCTTCATAGTGGTTATCTGAACACTGTAGGATCGTGATGGAAATTGTCTTTTGATTATTAAGGCCTAGGCTCAGACTGTCCCTTAGGATTCTGTCTGTGTGCATGTTGCTTCTATGGATTTGCACATTGGAGGATGCATAGAAAACATTTCTTTTAATCTCACTGGCATTTTTAACACGCCAGGTTGTTCTGTGTTCTGTACCAGGTTTTCTTCACAAAAACCTTTCTTTTTCAGGAGGCATTGTACATAAGTGAAAGAAATTATGTCTGAGCTGTAATCACTCTTTATATTGATTGTTATACTCACATGATCATAAATATTAGCCATGTTTGGTGCTGTGGAGAAATGAAGGTAATTGCCTTATGATTAGAGCTCTTTCAGCTAGAGAAAGGATTGATTAGCATTTGCATACTGGAGGCAATATTGAGAGGCAGGAAGAACAAATAACAACATCAGTTATTTTGTGTGAGAAAGCAATCTCAAAATGTAAAGATTTTTTTTTAAGAATTTCTTTGCCATGTTCACATGTTATCTGGGTTTTGTGGTTTTATGGGGGTTTCTTTCCATTTTTTTTTCCCCCTTTATTTTTCTTCTTTTGAGTTTGAGATTTACAAGGGAGAAAAAAAAAGTTGAAACTTCTGGGTCTGTCACATGGATCTTTTAGCCCTTTATGAACAGGTTTCTTTTATACCTGGTTGTTTTTATAGCTATTTTATTATCTCTCTGCATTAGTGCTGCTGGCTCTGGTATAAAGCAAGCGTTTGCAGGTAATTGGAAAAAAGTGTTTATCGTTTGTGAGTGTGTGTGTTCTTTTATCGGATGATTTAAGTGCGTTTACCAAGGAATGTGGCTTTGTACTTTCCCGTTTCCTTGTTTACTAATTGCTATGTTAGAACAAAAATCTGGATGGAATTTTGTTCTATGTTGTGAATCATGAATAAATTGATGTAAAACCTCAAGAAAAGGTCAAAGCTTGTATGATTGTACGGACGTGTTCTAAGGGAAATATTTTTCTTCACCCATTCCTCATCTTTGTTTACCTTCCCCCTTTTACAATAATGAAACAGTTAGGGTCCTATTCTGATTTTGAGCTAAAATTTCTTTTGGATTCAGTTTTCAAACACTGGAACATATAGCTTTTTTAATATTTGTCACATTCTCCTTCACTATGAGTATTTCTGGCCTTCCACATTATTTTGCTCCCGAAACAGACTTGGGTTAAAGATGTATTTATCCATTATGGTAGCATTCCTTTTTTCTTCTTCCTCCACTGATTACTGTTAACTTTTTTTGTTTGTTTCATTTTATTCTCATTGTTCAAGCTATATATAAATATATGTGTGTATACACACACACACACACAGACACACCTTTTTTGTCTTGGTTATTTTCTTGTCTTGAATTTTTCTCCTTCCTTTCCGATAAACAGGCCATTGAAGACGGCAATTTGGAAGAAATGGAAGAGGAAGTACGGCTTAAAAAGCGAAAAAGACGAAGAAATGTGGAAAAGGACCCTGCAAAAGAAGATGTGGAAAAGGCTAAGAAGAGAAGAGGCCGCCCTCCAGCTGAGAAGCTGTCACCAAATCCCCCCAAACTGACAAAGCAGATGAACGCTATCATCGACACTGTGATAAACTACAAAGATAGGTGAGTGTTTTGTCCCTTCACCTTGGTCATCCTTCACCAAGACTGTGAGTGATTCTACCTAAAGAGCAAGATTTATTAAGTTGCGTGCATGGGTTTGGAGGTTCTTTCTACCTTGTGTTTTATGGTTTTCCCTGCAAAGGTATGAGTAACCTGTGCCACGTTCAAAATGGCCACTTTTGTATGATGCTTCAACAGGTATTGTTTAAGATAGTTGGAAATGAGTTTAGATTACAAAATTTTAAAAAGATTCTTAAGGACCTCTGAAGTACCATCGTTTATGTAAGAAGGGATTGGGATGACAGAAAGAAATTATTATTATTTTTTTTGGATTGAATTGTTAGAGAAAGCAGAGTCCTAGTATGTTTAAGGTAAATATTTCATGTTAAGGCTCTGTTTAAAAGCAAACAGATGCTTCATTGAAAATGCTGTTTCTTCTTTCATTCTAATGCTTGAATTTCTGAGCACTTGTCAGAGCCATCTCTTTCTTCCTAAGACTACTACATAGTGTGATTTTTTTCAGGAAATTTATCTTTTCTGTGGAACTTTTTGGATGTGAACTTTGAGAAACCTGTGCTGGACACTCTCCCCAGGACATTTTAAACAGTAATTATTTGAAAACCAAAGCAAAGACATTTTGCGGTGTCAGTCGGTCCTATATAGTAGATAAACTAGTTTGGCTACATTTTGGTTAGTTGATTTGGTTTCCACTTGATAATCATATAATGATATTTTCATTTGAAGATGGTGTCTCATTTCAGTTGAACAATTGATAGGAAACAAAACAGACATTTTAGTTCTCTAAATTGCATAGTGGTATTAATCAGTTTTTAGTTATTAAAAAATTTTTTTTCATTCCCCCAAGGGGGTGCATCATTCCTGGAGGTACTACGATACCAGCTCGATGGATGGAGTGGAAGGAGCAAGCTCCTATTCCATCTCCCTGCTCCAAAAATATATTTAATATATTGTCCTCCAATAGAGGATGTATCAGATACCGATAACATATAACTGATAACAACAGATACTGTACTCGATCTTAGCCAACAGACCGAGAAGCAGTTGTTTACCAGAAATATTTGACATTAACTAGTGTTGCTCTGTACACCTGGAAGCATTTAACATGAATAACTAAGTTGTGTTTTTAGTTTTTCACTGTGGCTTTTTGGTGCACGTATTATAACAGGAAGGAAAAATTTGTTATAAAGATAAAGTAGTATAAAAAGCAAGAAACTTTCCACCATGGGGTTTTGTTGTTAAAGCCTTTCTTATCTGTCAGGCATTTTCAGAAATGCTGAAAGAGGAGTAGGAGGAGATGTTTGTGAAAGGGTCACGATTTCTTGCCCCTTTGTACCCACTAGGTCTCTTAGATTCCATTTCTTACTATTTCCCTTCCTTCAAAGAACAAAACAAAACAAAAAAAGTGCATCCCCTTTATGGATTCTGGAGTGGCCACAAAGGGCAGCCCCATTATATTGGGTTTGGATCAGCTGTTCATTGACATGGGGGAATGGCCGCAATCCAGGAAAGAAAATGTTACCGCAAGTCCATTCCTTGCCCAGAGTGAACATGGAAACTTCCTTGTAAACCAAGAATCAGTAACACACTCTGTCAAGTTTCTGTTCACCCCCAGCTCCACTGGTAGATTTGCCCTGGATTTAGGGACAGTTTACAGCAAGCCAGCTTGGATGATGCCTTATTTTATCAGTCCCTGGTATAAAGAAAAATATTACCAAGTAGAGAGTATCACTCTGCATATACCTCGAACTTTCTTGCCTTTGTCTCAGGAGAATGTAACATCTGTTTCTCTGACCAGATGTGCCTTGACGTGCAACAGGCATTTTGTTCATTACTTGCTGAATATGTCTAGGACTGTTGTAACATTGAAAAGGGCCAAGAAAAATCCTTGGAGGTTTAAAAGCTAGGCCTTTTATTCCAAGATAATGGCTATATCTTCCTTTAGTGATGTAGAAGAGGTCACCAACAGGTGGACTACATATTACCAACAGATTGTTCTTTATTTGGTTTTATGTTGTTGGGAGTTTTTTTGTGGTGGGGAGGGGATGGCAGCCAATACATAAACATAGAGAGATTTCTTCTAAAAACTTCAGGGGTCCCTTCCCACCTCCTCGTCTTTTTGAAAACCTAAAAATGTGGCAGCACTCTGCCCAGCTGTCCTGAAGGTGCCCTCATTCGCACAACCTGCTGGCTCCACAGCCTTTTGAGCCTTCCTGGTGTACATGGCTGCAGGCTGACCGTTTTCCTAGAAACCATCCCAAAATACAGAGCGGTATGAGGTTATAGCCCTTAAACCTCAGCAAAGCATAGCACAGTGGTTTAGAGTACAAACTCTTGTCTTGATTTAACTGCCTGCGTTTGAATCCTGACTCTAGCATTCACTAGCTGTGGGACAATGGGGTAATTTACTTAACCTCCCTGAGCCTCAGTTTCCCCGTCCGAGAAATGGGATGATTACTGGACCTGCCTCTAGAGTCATTATGAGTCATCAATGAGTTAATAGAACTGAGGTTCTTTGAACAGTTGAATTATTAATAATTAGCCTTGCAGACTATTTGTAGCTAGTTGGGTGGGTGAATGGACCTCTGCACTCTGTACAGAAAGTGTCCTTGCTGGTCCTGGTTTCCATGGTTTTATTTCCAGAAACAGAAAATGCAGCTTCGTGGTGACTGATGGTTGAGGACTGAACGTGTCTTTAGCTGTACTATATAGGTAAAGGATATTTAAATATTTCAGAATGCAGATATTAAGCAGCTTTTTTCCACATTTTTCTGGTTTTATTTATTTAATTACTTTCTTTGCTTTTTCTTAAAAAGTACCCTTGTAAGGCCCATTCCGTTAGCTCCCACATTTAGGTACTTTCTGGGGAGTATGTGCTAAATCTCCTACCAGTGCATGTTTCATGTACATTTCATGTTGCTTATCCTCTGGAAAAAGCACTTACTCTATTTATATTTTGTATTTCTCTTTAACTTGGTACTCAAGTGGGAGGTGCTCAAATTAGAGGGCCTTAATTAGATACAGTGTCATATTTTTAGTTGGTTTTAGAAAATGCTACTGGAAGATGTACATCTCACTATGTTGAGATTTTTGCACCATTAAAGTCAGTTTCTAATATAGAAACTCAACCTACCTGTGAAAGAAATACCACCTGTGCTAATCTCCCTCCCATCACCTTGGTCCAATGTTAGGGCTCTGACAGTCGTGTAGATTAGCAGTGTGTTAAATAAGAACTGCCATCTATATTTAACTGATCTGTAAGAAGAATTAATTAGCTCTCATGAGACAGTTGTTTAAAAGTTCTTGCATGATTCTGGGACAGATGTGTCTTGATATTTTTCTAAAGAATTAAAATAATTTATGTATCTATTTATTGCTTTTGTATTTCATGCCAGGCCTCGTTTTTTAAAAGGAGGGTGCTTTTAAAAATGTGACCCAGAAGAGCCAGTAATTTTGTGTGATTCATAAATGTAAAACCCTTCTGCAGTAACTACTGTCAGAGGTAGTACTGGTCTGCTCCTACTGATAACCATCATTTTATTTCCCCAGATAGAATATTTTATATTAAGTAGTACTAGAAGGCTTTGTTTTGACTTGTTAAGCATGTTTTGTTTTCTGCTTATTTAGAAGGCTTTTAGAAATCATATTCTCAGTTTATGTAATGTTTAACCTAAGACTCTCTATTTCTTTGAAAAGCGATTCATCCTAATTTGCAGTTGTACCCTTGAAAATTGTCCCTGGGATGAAATGTAGAATAAGATGGTAAAGACTAGGGTTTAGTGGAATTATCCCAAATCTGGAGACATGGCTTGTTACTTGGATAAAGGAAAGAGAGATTCCTAGAGGCATTCTTAAAGTTGGAAGGGACTTTTAGGTCTGCATGGTCCAACTTGCCACAACTCGGATGTTCCCCTTCACCTGTGACAAATGGGTACCCAACCTCCAGCATCAGCTCACTGCTTCAGGAGGCAGTTTATGACTCGGAAGGACAGCCATAAACACGTGACTATTTCCTCCATTAAAATGGATTCAGCCCTCTGACTTCTGTTTGTTCTACTTGGACCTTCAGAGAATAAATCTGTACTCATTCTTAGAAATGTCCTTTCAAATATTTGTAAACAAGCATATCGACCTCAGGACATCCCTCTTCAGATTGAAATACCTAACTTTGCTCTCTGAGTGATGCCTAGACTTTGGCCGTACTGGTCTGCCTCCTCAGGAACATGCTACTCTCTTTGTGTCACATTTAAAACATGGCACTCAAGCCAAGCGTGGTAGTGTGCTCTTGTCATCCCAGCTACTTGAGAGCCTGGGGCAGGAGGATTGCTTGAGCCCAGGAGTTCAAGTCTTGCAGTGCTCTGTGATCACCTCTGTGAATAGCCATTGCACTCCAGCCTGGGCAACATGGTGAGACCCTGTCTCAAACAAAAGAAAACATGGTACCCAGAGCTCCAGAGATATTCTGACAGCTAATTGCAGGGTGGTTAGCTTCCTTATTCTGAACGCCAGGATTCTGTTAACATAACTCAAGAGCGTGTTTACTTTTTCCAGCAACCTTGACACAGAGTTAACGCATATTGAACATGTGACTTGTTGAAAAACTCTCACTCCCCACTCCAAAACACACACACAGCTCTGTTCTCAAATGAATGCTGTCAAGGTTAGCCTTCAACTAAGCATTGATGTTTTTGGACCTATACCTACTAATTGTATTCTTATTCTCATGCAGTTCCTTTGTAAGTTTTTTGTCCCGTCATTCTTGCCTGTTGCTGTAACTCTGAATTTTTATTTCTTTTTTAAAAATGATGTTGATTTTCTATGTTTTTGTCATCTGAAGATTTGATATAAGCTATTACAGAGAAACTTCTAAGGGACAAAGGACAGGTCTCTATGACATGCCCCTGAAAATCACTTCAGGTTGATACAACTATATTAACCAGTAATCCTAAAAGTCGATTAACCATCAGTTGAACTCACATGGCCATACTTTCATGTCACCCACATTTATCCTTTCTAGTGGTTTTCAAGAAAGGCTAAAACCAAGATACACTATAGCTGTAGCCTGTCCTGCATATCAACCTAGAAACCCCCGCCAAAAACCTGAAATGAGGTTAGTTTGCCATGGCTTTTTCTAAGAGACCTCCTGCTGGTACTTGATGTTATTTATCTCTTCTGAATAGCCCCGTGGCATCTGAATTATTTCTTCTAAATTTTTACCAAGGGTCGACATAAAGCATAACAGTCTCAGGTTTCGTTTCTCATTTTGAAATTGGGACATTTGCTTATTTCTCGTCTTATTCCATTTTTGCTGTCTGTGACTTCCTTAAGCGTTATTAGCACAAGCGATCTACACACTCTTTCAGGATGTAATTAGATTACAACTGGACACTTGAACTTATTTGAAGTGACTTGATATGCTCTTTTTATCAACTCTCCTATCAAGAGCTTTTGTTCAGCAGTTATGATGCCTTGCTTTTCAAACCCGAGCATTGTTGTCCTTCCTGAAGAATCTGGAAACAGAACACGAGTAGGATGTCATCACCTCCTCCCTCTCTACCAGTTGTTTGAAGATGCCTTCTTTGCAGGAGCACTGCACAGGAGGACTAGCCCTGCTGCAGGTAAAAGGTTTGGACATCAGGTCCAGCCTTGAAGATGGCTGCAGGGAGGCAGATGAAGGAAGCAGGAGATGCCCTCCTGGCCACCTCCATCCGTGGGCACAGCCCTGGCGCACAGTGGGGCGCTTCTCCCTTCCTGGCCCTCTTCAGTTTATGATCTCTTCCCCCAACAGGGAATATGTTCTTGCCCCTAATTTTAATAAGTTCTGGTGGTATCCCAGGAATTGTGTTAAGCCTCAGCTTGTTCTGAATTTAGTTCCCCTTACATTAGAGAAAATTATTCATTCATCCAGGAAATATCCCGGCATTGTCCTCTTATTCCCAGCAGTGCACTGCTGAGGCTGGCCATGGGGTGAAAACTCCAGGTACTCACCCTGTTTACCGTGCAGTGGAGGAGAGAGCTTTCTGCGGGATATTACTGAATGGGAAGCCGGCCTGGGGAATTCAGGAAAGCCGGAGTCATATGAGCCCCATTATATGAGGATATAATGATATTATCTGATGTTTAGAGTCACTTTTGGACATTACAATGACATTTACCTGGCAAAATAGAGCCAACATTTCGTTACATTATAGCACCTAAGGATTTGGGAAACTTCAAACCTAAGGACTAATTGCACTTGTTTGATTCCTATACACACCAAAAGTAATTTGTAGCATTTTCCTCATTTTAAGTAAGGCTGAACCAGTTTTTAAGGCTCACATATAATCAACCCATTCTCCAGAGGGCTGGGTTCTTATTTAAAAATGTTTCCAAGGGTATCTCTCCAAGTGCTTTACCTAAGGTGCATTTAGGTCTTTACTGTGTTGAAGGCTTTCCCGCACTGACGGTCATCCAATGGACTATTCATTCTGGTGTCCACACTGCCTTTCTAAGATAGATCTGTAGTGACATACATTTTTAAAACCAAATCCATGTCATTTTTTAGTGTTCTTTTTTGTTGTTTTATCTTTAGATCTTTTTGTTTGTACTTTTTTCCTGAGCCAGTCATATTGCTGACCTACACCACACTCCTTATCAGAATGATTTGAAATTATTCTGCCAGAATCTTTTTTGTTCAGAACCTCACATCTCTGTTGAATTGTAGATTCTGTTAGTCTCAGATCCTAGAACCATGCCTTTCTTCTCTGAATTATTTACAGTGCATTCTATAAAATGTCTGTGATGTCATCTGTAGTTCCTAGGTTCCTCTTCCTTCACCGTTAAACATTTAAGCTCTGAGATGACACGGTCTGTTCCAGCTTCTGTGTTCCCTTGGGCAACACCAGCATCATTGCAATGTCCTAAATGTGAAAGAGTACTTTTTTTTCCCAACCCTGTGCCTCATTTATGACATGCACTCAAACACAGAGTCCCCTTGACATGCCCAGTAGCATCCCGCGGGCACCCCTCCTGCTGCCTCTGCACACACTGTCTTCATGAGGCCCTTCCCGGCTGGGCCCAGCTTCCAGTCTGTTCCTCAGCCTGCCTTCTCTGAGGCACCTGTCTGGCCATATCATACTATTACCGAAGAACTTTCTGTAGCTTCCCATTGCCTACCTGACAACGATCAGACTCCTTAGCATAGGAGAATTCTCTTACACAGACTGCACCTAAGGACCTTCCCAACTTCCCAACTTCTTTTTCCAACGTGCCCCTCCCAGCTCTCCTTATATTTCAGACATTCCAAGTGCTTCTGTACGTCTGAAATACAGCATGTACACTGTCATCCCTCTACTGATTAATGCTGTCTTCTCTCTGTACCCCCTCTCTCCCCACCTCCCCATCCCCACTTTAAAGCAGAGTGGGGCAGTGGCTCTGAGGGGACATTTGTAAGTGGCTGGGAGTAGGATGTGTACGCCACAGGGTGCTGCCTACGCCTGGAGTAAGGTCTAGAGGGTTTGGAGGGTTTCCCAGGATCCATCAAACTTGACAGCTGCTTCCTTGCCACCACACAAAGGGACACCAATGTAGCAGCATCAAAAGTCCTCCACTGAAGAGGCTTCCCTGGAGGCCTGTAGAGGGCTGAAGGCCTCAGATGGTGGTTTATTTTTGTTTCCACTTGAAGACCATGGATTCAGTGATCTATTCAAAAAGAATAGAGTTCTGGGAAGCAGAGCTGACTACTTAGACGGCATGCAGAACCTGAACCGGCCGATGCTTGGACCACCCTCTTTGTGCAGGCTACCGTAACAAAGCACTTTATCCTATTTCATTTTCACAGCAGCTTTCTGAGGGTAAGTATTGTGCCCATTTTACAAATGAGAGGCTAGACTCCCATAGGCTAACGCTACCTTCTCAAGATCACACACACCCCTAGCAAGTGGCTGCCTGTCTTCCACTGTTGCCGGAATAATGAACGGGACGTGTGTGGAGGGAATGGAACCAGGGCAATAGGTATTTCTGTGTTTGGCAGAAGCAGGAAAAGTCCCAGAGAGGTTGGGAAATCCATTTTTTCCCCATTTTTGAACTCTTTTTTCAGAATGAGGTTCTAAACATAACCCCATGTGATCTTCCCAACAAGGGAGGTAGGTGAAGAGAATGAGGCTTGGAGAGCGAAATGAATTACCCCAGGTCACCCAGCCTAGGAAGAAGGTGGCGGGCTGGGACGAGAACCCAGGTCTTCTGACTGCAGTGTTCTTTCTACTCTACCGCAGGTGTAACGTGGAGAAGGTGCCCAGTAATTCTCAGTTGGAAATAGAAGGAAACAGGTCAGGATCTGTCTTACATTCCGGTGTCTCTAAATACAGGTATCCCTTGGTACATGCAATAGACCGATTCATAGCATCAGCCTTTGGTAGCAGATTTCTCCATGTACCTCCTTATCACTCCACTTGGCGTGGGGGATGGAGGTACAGATATTCTTAAACACCTGTCATGGCTTCTGAGGTTTTGTGTTTTAACCCGGGTGTGTCCTGCTCTGTACATGCACTTCTTACAAAGGTGTTGGGAGCTCCCTGAAAGCCTGCGCTACTGCAACACCACGCGTGAGGGTGGGTTTCTGCTGCTTCCTCCCTTCCAGAGCAGCTTCTCTTGTACGTTCTGCCATCCCTCTAACTCTGTGCTGTGTTGGTTTAGGAGCTTAATGCCCAGCACCTGTGGTGACTTGATCTGCAAGACATGAAGCATGCATGTTCACGCTGTGTCTGCATTCTGGAGTTGATCACAGCGTGTAGAGGGCAGTTGCTGAGTTGCTTCCTGTTTGTGCGATGGGTCAGGTTTCAGGGTGTGACTTCTCAGCCTACCTGTTGTGTGGGGTCCTGAGCATACTAAGCCGGTCTGTTTAACCTTTGTGTGCCTTTGTTTCTGTTGGGTGGAAAGCAGAAATGCTTTTCTCCTGGAGATATTGTGAGAATTAGATGATGTCGGTTGAGCTAAAGAGTTGGATGTACATAATATACCAGGGCTAGGAGTTGTTATAATAATATATCAAAAATAACATTTCTTTCCTGCTTTTAATGTGTACTTTTAAGAACTATTGACGCAATGCTTTACCATCCATATTCCAACTTTGTCAACCGACCCAAATAACATTCTTTATGGCATTTTTTTCCCCACCAGCATAGGATCCAAAGTAGGGAAAATGCATTGAGTCTGTGTCCTGTATTTCAGAATGAATACTGATCACCAGTTGTGACATTCTTCTTGATATAAGGAGATACGAAATGGGAGTGATTTATACCTACCCATTTCTGTGTGGAGATGAAAGTGTTAGGCAAGGTTGTTGATTTTTGATCTTTCTTATTACTGTTGAGTAAACGATAATTAATCCTGGAAACCAGGCCCACAAACCATAGTGTCTACTGAGAAACATCAAGAGTCATGTTCTGTTTTCACCATTATGAGAAAGAACTCAGTGTGGATTTGAATTTGGAGATTGAAATGACAAACACCTGATTTTGTAAGTTTGGGCAGTTTAAGCAGTGAACCCAGTTGGGCAGACACTTCTACCCCCATACTAGGAAGGAAGCCTCTGGTCTAAATAGCATGGTATGGGCTAAACACCCATACCAAGGCATGTGCTCGAGCTCCTCTTTCCCTGTCCCCTCTTCCATCAAAATGGGCATGTGACCATGAAAAGTAGATTAATAACTTTAAAGGATATTGCAACTCCCCAATGTCACACCTGGGCTTTTCAAGGGGAGACGATTTGACCATATGTAGTTAGGACCTAGAGAAATCCATTTTCGCTGAAGACACATTTAAGCTGTCATTTCCAGAGGCGTTGCAAGGGGCTTGGCATTTGCTTCCTCAGGGCTCTTTGGAGTCTGTCTCGTCCCTGCCTGGCTGTCACACATGCTTCCTTCTCCCATAAGCCTGAGCCAGCAACGTGGTGTTCAGAGGTTGTATTATGACAAATTAACCCTTCAGAACAGTTTGGTTCTTTTTTTTTAAGTCCTTTCTTCATGTGTTCAAAAGCACTGAGCATTTTCTGCGTGTCAGTCTCTGTGTAAGTATTGAAAATGGGGAAAAAATGAATAAAATGGAGTACTTTAAAGCACATTTGGAAAGAGCTGTCTGAACGAATAACGCAAGTACCTAGTGTGAATGAGGTGTACGGACTACGGGGTTGGCGGGGAGCTTCTAAGTGGCTGAGGGCAGAGTGGGAGTTTCCCAAGCAGACTGTGAGGGGAGGACAGTGGGCAGGGCAGAGGCGCTCGGTAGCCCAAGTGTGTGGGCAGCCATGGAGGTGTGGAAAGCAGACTCCCTCTGGAGAACACACACATCTCAGTATGACCAGGTCACTGGGGACAAGGAGGGAGACAGCCAGGTAAGGCTGGAGGAGGCAGCAGAGCTGATCCCAGAGGCCTCAAACACCAAGTTGAGGAATTTTAACATTCTCTTCTAGGACTGGGGTCTCAAGGTCAGTTTTTAATCACTGCAGTGACTGTTAAGAGCACTGTTTTGAGGAGACCGACAGAGGGCACACCTGAGCTCCGGGCGTGAGCGTGCAGTGCCCAGCGCGTGATGTGTGTCATGTCGGGGAGGGGAGGCGACACCAGCAGGGCAAAGTGGAGAGCCAAGAGGGGTTAGTGGGGACACACGCAGGTTCCTGTTTGAAAATGTCACTCTAATAGTGTGTGAAGGATGGATTGAAGGGGACATAAGTTAGGAGGATGTTTGTTGTTAGGTGTAGGAGGAGATGTCCTTAAAATAAGGAAGTGGTGGCAGGTAGGATGACAAGGGAATAAATACTCAGAGGTATGATTGACAAGACTTAGGGGCAGGCTGGATGTGCAAGGAGGAGGAGAACTCGGACAACTCTTGGATCTCTGCCCTGAGTGATCAGTGAGCGGCAGTGCCATTTACAGGAGTGCAGGTGGAAGGAAAGTCGGCGTGTGTGAAGGTACTGTATGTATGTGTGTGTTCACACGTGTGTGTCTATGCAGTTACCCAGGCCCTCATACCCAGCACAGCTAAGTTCTCTCCATGGCTATTAACAGCTCTGAACGTTGTGATTATGTTGTTAGTATTGACCGCCCTTTCAGGACCAGCCAACGAGCTCTTTTAGACAAAATTTATTTTTAGCATCCTTGGCACCAGACAGTCCGTATTTCTTTAAGCCATGGGGAGAGACTGTAACAACGGCTCTCAAGCCCAAGCACCTTCACATTTAGTGGCTCTAATTCGATTACAGAGAAATTGCCATGAAATAGCAGTGTGATCGAGTAGATCCACTTTTAAGGAATTTTAGTTGTAGGTGAAGAGCCTTTCTTTGCTCATTGTTTCCCACACTTTGGACAGTTTATCTTGTGGAGTAGCAGCCTGTGAGGCCGGCGCCTCCTGCGTTGTCTGGGATGGTGCTTCCAGGGTGCGGTCTTCCAACTTGAGTCCTGCAGCTCCTTCTTGTAGATTCCCAGTAGGGCTAGAGGCTCTGGGATGTCTTGCTGCAAAGCAAGCTGTTTAACCCACCATTTCCCAAACTCCTTTGAACAACGAACCCTCTTTTCAGGAAACACTGTTAATAATCCATTAAGCCAGTGTTCCATGGAGCACACTTTGGGAAATGCTGAATTAGAGCCCAATTATTACATTTAGTCCAGAGAGAATCTTGCTCCAGGAGGTGTGGATTCCAGGACTTCATTTTGCCCTCATTACAAATATTGATACTTTAAACGTTTACTGGAACAGGCTGCTGTGACTCCTGGTGACCTGACACTTATTTATGGTGCTCAGCCAGTTACACCCACATACAGCAGGTGGGCAACCCACAAAGAAAGTTAGTCCGTCTGCTTTCTGTGGCACAGAAGGCCTCCCCTCAGCTTCCAGCGTTAGCCTGGCCCTCGGTCCCCTTTCCCCAGGGTCTCTGCCTCCCGAGCTCCATGCCAGCCCCAGTGTAAATAACGCCTCTCTCTCGGAGGGGAGGGAGTCCCAGCTGGAAATAACAAAACGGGGTTTTCTTCCAGGCTGACAATTGTTTTCCAAACCACTGTATAAACATTTTAATCAAAAATGAATTGCCCTGCAAGGTAGCAGTTCTTTGGATATGTATGTCCTTGCTTATTCATGGAGAAAAAAAAATCTGTCTCATTCCTTTAGCATCATACCTAATATGTCTTCCTTAAGAATTTACCAAAAGGGCCATTGTAGGAAAAAGCAGTGCTCCGATGCCTGCCAAGACCCACTGTTTAACAAAGCAACGTGTGGGACTCGGGCACAGATGGAGAGGCATTTGATTTTGTTTGTCTGCAAGAGCTTTGTGCTTTTGAGTTTGGTCCACAGTTCAGCCAAAAGCTTTGAAGCATTTTTACCATTAAGAAGTGGGGACACAGGAAGGGTCAAAGGACCATGCATTGGAAGGGAAAGTAGGTCCTTACGTTTCGAAAGGCAGGCATTCTTTGAGTCATGAGCAGGTGAGGTGGCGAAAGTTGGTAAAATGGCCAAGGAAGCAGCAGGCTGTTCAGCTGTCAGACTGAGACGGGCAGTGAGAATTCCGTACCTTTATCTGCTGTTATGAAATGTCCAGTGAGAAAAAGGGGGTAGGAAACTAGTCCTGCGTCAATATTTCCAAAAGTCATACTTTTAGAATAGCTGGGAAGTCTTCAAAGATCTCTCTTCCAAATGGCTTGTCCAAAAAAAAAAATTCTATCTGAATCTCATATACTGTTGCCAGCACTTCTGATTTTTAGTAATAAATGCAGTGATAGGAATGTTGTACGGTAGATTCCGATGGTTGTAATATATTAAATAAAATTTTATGTAATTATTGCATTTATTTGGCCTTATGTGGTAGAGTTTAAAAAAAAAAAATGCCAACTGGTAAAATGTGCTTTTGATGGTGATACAAATAAAAGTTGGTCATATGACCCTGAGACATTTTCCTGAGAAAAATAAAATTAGATTTATGACTTATACTAGGTTGTCAAAGAAGGTAACCCAACTAAAGTGTTTGAGGCCTATTTATGGCTAACATGATTCTAAATTATTAATACATTCAATTGTAAATCTTCATGTTGTTGAGTAAGAGTACATTATTATTTATGTTTCAACATAGCTCCTTCTGGTCGTGTTAAAAAAACTCTGTTGAAGTCATATTACACTTACAAGTTGATAATCTTGTTTTGGATTTTGTTTTTGTTTTTTTTTTTTTTTTTTCATTTAATGACATAAGCAATTTTTCCAGTCTTTTAAAGCATATAATTTAAAAATATATAATTTTAGATTCTCTAGCATTCCATTACTTGCCCTTTCTCCAACTGCTAAACATTTTTGTCTACTTTGAATTATTTATTTTAAATAATTCTGTAATAAACATCTTTATCTATAAATCTTTAATCTGTGTTTCAGCCTAGAGTAGATTACCAAAAGTAAAATTGTGCACCGGAGTGTGATTGTATTTAAGACTCTGGATCAAGTCTTGGTGTTTTTCTTATTGAGCAGAGAGAGCCTGTTCTAGTTTCCTGACCTGGGGGTATTTACTTTGCACTAATCTGATGCAACCTTGTTTTTCCTGATAACTCAGGGACATTATATATCTACAGTTCTTCATGACTCTTAGGGTGATTTTAATAGCTACCAGTTCATTACCAAAAACAAGGCCACCCCCATCCCACTGTGTTTTGCTGTTGCTTCTTATATATTTCAAGAGTCTGGGAGATCAGATCTCCAAGCTTTTTAGAAAGTATCACCAGTAAATACTCATTAAGACTGAGATGAGAGATCTCTCGGTAGTGAATATGGAATTTAGGTCCTTGTGACACCTAGTTCATGACTGGCTCGGATTTCTGTGGGCTCCCTTGATAAGTGAGATACTACTTACTATGGGCTAAGGAAATTTTTGAATGATATGTATTAAACCTCACAGGAACCCGACCCTGAAACCTACTGCCCTGCAATGTTGACCCAATTTTTAAAGTTTTCTTCCCAAATGATTTCCTTTAGGACTGTGATAGCTTTCCTATAAAATCTTTCCAACCCCAGGTGGGTATTCTAAACCATGATATCATTTTCTTATCGAGGCAAGGTAGTCACATTTTTACCTTTATTAACTAGTGTAAACAAAACTATTTCAGCTTTGGTTAAGATCTCTTTTTCAGAAGTATCCAATAGGAATTCTTGTCAACAAATCAGCTTGTGCAGGTAAAAAGAAAAACATAAAAAACAAGACCCTCACCCAAAATCAATCTTGGTTTGGGCTTAGAAAAAAATCACCTGAAGATAGGCAGTATTTGAAAGGAATAGGCTTCTTAGCTAGCATATCAGTCTTCAACACGCCTCTAAGACTAACATGTAATCAAAGGTAAAGCTGACGTTTATGTAAAGTTTATAATGTATGCAGTCACCATTTTAGAGTCATGGTAGTATAGATGTGGCATTATTTCCTTTTGGTTTGTGGAAGCAACGAGGAAAAAAATTGGTTCCCCAATGAAGCATAACAAATCTCAGTTGTGTGTGTGTGTCTAAGTTATGCATGCAGGATTTGCAGACCACCATTTACACAGTGGTACGTAGGGCTTTTCCATCTCACATACTATGACATCATGGCCCTGTCCCTATGCCCATTCGCTTCTGTGGAGAGGAAAGGTGCCCACCATCACCTGTAAGCTCTAAGTCCAGTATATTCCTTCAAATTTGTATTTCAGGTTACACTCCTCCCCCACCCACCCTGTGTCTTATCAGAGTCCCCTTGGTCTGAGACAGATCATTGTGCAAAATCGATGTGAAATCACAGACCATCTGTGGACTCAGGGAGAGGGGTCTCACCTTTGTCCTGGGAAGCAGTGCACTTTGAGGTAACAGTTTATGCTTAGGCCTTCAATTGTATAAAATGACATAATGGAAAATACCTTCGTAGGATAAGCATTTCAACAGAAACAGAACACCTTCTGTAAACCATTGTACAATTAGTCCATTGTTTTCTACTTTAAAAAGAAAAAAACTTTCTAATGCAAAAAAAAAAAAAACACCACCACATTTGAAAAGGTATATTAAAAAAGCCTTTGCTTGGCTCAAGTTTGAAAAAGAAATGCCAAGAATTCAAAACTCTATCGAGCTGCTTCACTTCCTTTTTTTGTTTTCTTCTTTCTAAACCTGTAATTTAAAAAGAAACAAAGTACTGTAGCAGTGCATTCTCCTGTACCTCAGTGCGTTCTGTAGGTGACGTAAGAGCTGGATGCGGCTGACTCCCAATTTTTCCTGCAGTAGCTGCCCATCCCTGCCATTGCTCTGGTAGGGAAGGGGGAAGCATTTGACCTGTGTAAGATATTCTCACCCTGTGGGTAGGAGAGAAAACAACATGTAGAAGAATTAAGTGAGAGACTGAGAGTTAGTATAATATTTAGGAGAATTTCCTCCATTTTTATGGAGAATAGATTCTTAACCCTGGATGGATAATGAAGTATTTGAAGAGGTGGGGAAAAAGCACAGAGAACCTTCAGCCATGGAGTGAGAGATGGGTCGGGGCTAGAGACCTGGAATGGATCGTAGGAGGGGACTGGCCACCGTACGATGGGGGTACACGGAACAGAGGCTGTCCTGACTAGGAGGGGAGGTGGTCAGTGGTACAGATTGGGTTTGCAGAGAGTAAGGACATAGCTTGGAGGGCTTTGGAAGCCAGACTGAGATATTTGAGTGATGATGCAAGCAACACAGTCCCAAGAAGTCTTCCTTAGATAGCTTCTGGGTCCTCCTCTTGCCCTTGTCCCTTACCCTTAGGAAGGGGGAAAAAAGAAAGTGGAGTAAAGGTATTAAGTTCAGTGAGCTTTTATTTTTGAAACAGAATAAATTTTCTCATTTTACAGTTTCGGCCCCAAGTCTCAGAGCGTTCAGCTCTTTTGTTTATGAGCATAGACAACTCTGGACTTGTCTCTTTATTGGGTGTAAAATTCCTAGGGCCTGAGTTCAGAGATATCAGACCACGATTGTTTTAGCCATTTTGCCCCCTAGAGCTTTATTGCACTATTGGTCCAAACCGCTTATTTTCTCATTTTGCCAGTAGCACAGTTGGAATTAAGAGTATGTCCATCACAGAGGTACGAAGCAAAGATGTGCTGTAATCCGTCAATAGAAAAATGACACCATCTGTTGGCAATGTAGAAAATGACACCATGATGTTATTGAAGGAGGATCAGGTGTTAACTCCACAATTACAAAGAGATCTGACTTTTGGGTGGTTGCTAGGTTATAAAGAGCACTAATTATAAAGTCACTCGTAGCAACAGAAAAATTAATATCTATAAATTACTCCCCTTGCATTTCCTATGCTCCTTTTTAAACAGGTAAAATGTTTGAGTATATAAATCTCAGAATGGTAGAAAAACAATAGATCAGAAATTGTGGTATCAAAGGTGACAGAGTTGTTCCCATATACTGTGTGGCATAAGTTACAACAGTACAAATGCATTTCTCGACCTGGAAGGAGGGGTGGGGAGTAGGAGTGGTTGAGAGAACACCTTGGTTTTTACTACAATAATCTAAAAATCCCATTCCCTAGTAAACTGCAGTCGTCTTAAACCTCACGTTTGCCCCTGATTTTAGGATTCATGAGGCCTATACGTGCACTAAAAAATAAAACAAAAACAGTGACCCCGTGTAGAGGAAAAACTAGCCCATTCCTTTGACAGAGGATTTTCAGTTAATTTATGCAGGCCCCTTTGCACTTCAGCATTTTCCCCACTGGTTGCTAAGCAACCATTTGAGTTACTGCGCATGCCTTTTTTATGATAACTGTCATTATGATTACTTTTTAATTATACAACTGGGACTGTGGATTAAAACAGCATATTGTCACTTATGCTTTGCCACTGCCTTCTAGCATTCTCTCAAACTCCTAGATTCACCTTCTGAAATTTGCATGGCAGTGACTTACGATTTGATATCTCTGGCTTCACAAAGGAAGTAGAAACGGCATTGTAAGGGGAGCGAGGGTTTTTGTGAAAAATGACTGAACCATACATCACAAACTGTTATTGATCTGGGTGGGCCAAATCAGATATTAGGATCTCGAACCTAAATTATGAATGTCTTTGTCCCTTTAACCATGTCTGCTTCCAACATTAAGTGATGTTAAAAGCTTGTATTGCTTTTGTAGCCTGTGTTTCAAAATTACAAAATGCTAAGCATTTGTTGCTATTAAACCTGCTTTCAAATAAACTTACCGTGAATTTGGAGGAAGGTACAAGCACTAATCCCAGAAACACGAGGCATCCACACCTGCTAAATATATGCGTTCTTTTTTTGCCCAAATTGCTCCATATACCAAAAAGGCAGTTAGGCAAATAATAAAGGTGTGTGTGGCTCACGGTGTGTAAAATACTCTGCAAGGAATAAGACCAAGAAGATAGACACTAGGTACATACAAAAGCTTTCCGTTTGATAGAATGTTCTAACATTATTTTGAGTTACTTTGTAAACAAAAGTGAATTTGAAGACAAAGGAGTATTGAAATAAAGTCTGGGTTTTATTTTTTTTTAACCAATTCATTTATAAATGAAATTTTTGGCTGAAGAGGATTTCTTAAATATTTCTGTCAAAATGAAGAGATATATTGGGTCTGAAAGAGAAATCCACAGTGGACTTCCGTATCATCTATATGACAGAAGTGGAGACCAAATTGTATTTTAATGTGACTTTGAAGTTAGCACAAGGGGCATTAATTTCAGGTACAGTTGTGGGATTTTCCTTGACTTGAAGAGCAAGTCAATATGCATGGGATGTCATTTGCTTTGTTGACATTTTCTGAAATGAAACCTTTCCTCAATAGCTGTTTGATCTGGTTTGTTTTCCTTTGTTTCACCCACCCTACAGTTCAGGGCGACAGCTCAGTGAAGTCTTCATTCAGTTACCTTCAAGGAAAGAATTACCAGAATACTATGAATTAATTAGGAAACCAGTGGATTTCAAAAAAATAAAGGTAGATGTTTTGTTTACCCACTTTATTCTTCAAGTAAATAAAAGTGTAAATTCATTGAAATGGTTATAGTTGGGACTCTGCATGGCATCCCGCCAGGGCTTGCCCCAGAAAGGTTGGGGTGTCTGTATGCCTGTCCTTGTATTACTTAATCATTATGTTGAGAGCTCATATACTATATTGCATTTGACTGAAGACCTCTCAGACTCCCCCCAGTTGCTCTTCTTGTTTCGCATCATGTGCTCCTTCCCACCCCAGCTCCGCCCCCACAAGAAGGAATACTAGCGGGAGGGTGGTCTCAGTGAATGCTGTTCCCTGGGGTTCTGCAGTCCTGCATCCCTAGCAGGGCTGTGTTCCGTGACGACAAATGGAAAATCAGTCTTTATTAACTAATGAATGTTGCATTTTCCTCTTCCTTCTCTTTTTCTCTATCTTATCCAAAATTTCCATTAGGAAAGGATTCGTAATCATAAGTACCGGAGCCTAGGCGACCTGGAAAAAGATGTCATGCTTCTCTGTCACAACGCTCAAACATTCAACTTGGAAGGATCCCAGGTCTGTCTCCAGTGGTCCAAAAAGTTTTTAACTTTAAACGTGCTTTAGTTCTTTTAAGTAAAATATTTCATTTCTCTACCCTTTGAATCATTGCTACTACACTGGCAGAAGGGAAGTGAAAACATAAAAGCCTGTATTTCCATGCTATCTGTGCAAGTAAATTGAAGCTTTAGCAGTTTCAAATTACTTTTGTACCATAGCTATACTAGCTCCTACTCTTCCCTTGAAGGCTTGTCTTCTAATTAGAGGAGGAATTCAAGTAAATCATTTAAGGTGATGCTGAGAGTCTGGCAGTACCACTTTTGATTTTATAGAGATGGTGTATTTGATTATATTTACCTTCATTTTTCTGATTGTAACCTTACATCAGGAGTTGAAACTACTGTGATTTAAGACAAAACAAAATATATATAAAAAAAAAAAACAAAAACCCTACGTCTAATTGCTTTAAAAGAATCCTTTTTATTAGCCCAACTGCAATTCTCCTTACTCCTCTTCTCCATAATTAGCAAGTCTACGCATATATAAGTGAACTGAATTTATTAAAATAACAAGGGGGAGGACACTTTCACTTTAATTACACCTCAATTACTGTCACCTTTTGTAGGAACTCACTCTCTTTTAATCTGTATATCTGGCCTAACACTCTCCTACCCATGAGGAAGAGAACAAGCCAACAGGTCAGTGTGTCCCCTAGCCAGGGCAGTGTCAAAACACTGTTAAATTCCTTGAGCCTTTCTGATCTTACTCTTTTGCCTTCATGTCAGTTCGAGTCATCAAATTGGAGAACATAAGAATGTTCCTCGAACAGACTCTACATTTCCAGGTTATTAGTATTATCTTGACCAAAATAGGTCTTGAAAGCAAGCCTCTGTATTCCACACACTCCCCAAAGAAAGTTAAGATGAAAGCCAGGACATAGAGAATATGTAGAAGAGGAGTCTTTTGTGAATAACAACTTTAGTCTCTGGATAGATTTTTGGATTCTTGCTGTCGGTATGGCATCACTATGATATGCATCCCATCCCTTTGCAGCCCCACAACCTGTCTGTCCCCACTCCCACTGTCTCACAGCTGAAATGGGGAGATACATGGCCTCTTGAGTGGTTTCCCTTCCAGTCCATTTGGGATACTTGTTTGTCTTTCTCTAACCACCACCTTACCCCGTCCATTTACTGGCTGCCAGCTTTGAGGTTCCCCATGCACTGTCCAGAATGAATTTCATCTCTGTAGACTGCTTTCTGAAGTCTAACCTAAGTCTTGAGCTTCATTTCCTGCTACTCCTCAAACAGTCCATAGTCTAGCCAGACTGATAGCATAAACACCTGCCTCCTCGGATGCATTTAACTTTTTAACGATCACTGTAGATTCACATGCAGTTGTAAGATATAATAAGTACAGAGAGACCCTGTGTACCCTGTACATCTTCACAAGATAGTGACATCTTACATGCCACAGTATATCATAACGAGGAAACTGACATTGACACAATCCTGGAGGCATTGTTCATATTCTCATTTCCTATGAGTCCCCTCACCTTTCTCACCCCTGATGGAATCCCCCTCACCTTTAAGATCCAGTTCAACTCTGATGTCTCTGGCAAATGCTGCCCCCATGGCCACATCCCAGTGTTTTCTTTTTCTGCGGGCTTTTGTTCTCCTCTCATGCTCACTGCCTTTATTCATTTGTTGCTTACCACAGTTGCTCAGTCACCTTTTTGAGTGTGGGTCATCTTTACAATAAAGGAATTTGTTCTTAGAGAGCAAGGACCATTTTTTTTCCCTTAAGTATTTTCTTAATTGTGGTAAAAAGACATAAATTTTATCATTTTTAAGCATACAATTCCATAGTGTTAAGTATATTCACATTGTTGTACAACAGATCTGTAGAACTTTATCTTGCAAAACTGAAACTCTGTGCCTATTAGACAACAACTCTCATCTTCCTCCTCCTCCTAGCCCGTGGTAACCACCACTGTGCTACTTTCAGATTCTATGAATTTGCCTACTTTAGATAGCTCATGTAAGTGGAATCATACGGTATTTGTCTTTTTGTTACTGGCTTATGTACTTACAGACTTAGCATAATGTCCTCAAGTTTCATCCATGTTGTAGCATGTGACAGGATTTCCATCTTTTTTAAGGCCGAATAATATTCCATTAAATGTATATGCCACTTTTGCTATTCATTCATCCTTCCATGGACACTTGGGTTTTTTCCACCTATTGGCTATTGTGAATTATGCTATAAAAATGGGTTTGCAACTGTCTTTTGAAGACCCTACTTTTGATTCTTTTGGATATATACCCAGAAGTGGGATTGCTGAATCATATAGTAGTTTTATTTTCAACATTTTGGGGAAAAGTGCCACTTCTGAACTTTATCTCAGCACCTACCCAAGCTATACTTAGGTATGTACCTATACTGGGGAAAAAAAAATGTCGATTTGGTAAGTATTGGCTGGTACTGAGAAACTCAGTTTTAGGGTATAGCCCTCACTTTGCTAGGGGAATTGCATTTTAAAGGAGGTTGATTTACCATAATATTACTATTTGATAGAACAATAAGAATTGAATAAGAAATGTGGTTTTATAAATACTATTTTTGTTAAGATGAAGGATATCTTATTCTCCCCCAAGGACAAATGTGTGAGTACACACACACACACACTTTGAAATAATTTCAACTACATTTGGACTTTCTCCTATAACAATATGTATGTTTATATTTAGGTCTGGTTTTTTTCTATTGAGTTTTCATGTAGGCATAAAAGCCAGTGGTGACATTTCTACTAAAATTCATGTAAAATAAAGCTGGAGTGTTGCATAAGAGAAGAGCATGCTGCAGTGGTGAATCTTGGGCCCTCAGCTCACAGTTTTTAACAGATGCCATTTTGACCATTTAGATCTACGAAGACTCCATTGTCTTGCAGTCAGTGTTTAAGAGCGCTCGGCAGAAAATTGCCAAAGAGGAGGAGAGTGAGGATGAAAGCAATGAAGAGGAGGAAGAGGAAGATGAAGAGGAGTCAGAGTCTGAGGGTAAGCCCGCGCATCTGGTTCCTCCACGTCTTTGCCCATTCCCACCTGCATTGACGTTTCTACAGATGCTAATGGAAGAGACTTGAGAGTTGGCAGCTCTGCATTCTAGTCCTTAGTCCACTTTGTCCTTGCTGGGCAACCTTGGGCCACCTACTTAACCCTTCTTGTGCTCAGTTTTCTCATTTGTAAAATGAGGTAATAAAAATGACCTCCAACCATGTAAAACATGTAGCACAGGGCCAGGCTCATGGCAAATCCTCTCTTAATGTTACCTTTGAATGTTATATAATATACATTTTCTGTCAACACTACTGCTAATCCCACCTATCTATTCTTTGGCACAGTGGTCTGCAAACCTGGATTTTGCCCATGGTGTTTCTCACTCAATAGCCTGTGGTGGGACCTGGGAATAGGCATTTCTAACAAGTCCCTAGGGGATACTGCTGGGCCAACCACCACACTTCGACAATTGTTTTCTAAAGCAATGATTCAAATTGAGCTGGAACTGTGATCTACTTGGAGAATTTGGGTGTTTTTTGGTGTGCAAGGATACTGATTCCTGTCTTTTATTTAAAATGTTGATAGTTTGTTCATCATGGATTTTTTTTGGCATTGAGTTTTTAAAAATATTCCGTTAGAATATTTGATTACTGAGTTTCGGTGCCCCCTTAAATTTTACACCCAAGGCAGGTGTCTCCATTGTTTTTCCCTAGTCCCAGCCCTAGTTGATATAGCACTAATATTCGAAAGATTAAGGCTGCTTTCAGAAGTCTAAAATTTCTTCTTACCTAAATTATGTTTTCACCCTGTACCTCCTCTCAAAGTAATAAATGCCCATAGTTATGGTCTGCTATGTAACATGCTTTTAAAAAAGTATCAGGTTTGTTTCTAATTATACACTTAGTACAGATGACTTGGAAAATATTTTTTAAAAAGTAACAAAGTTTTCTGTAATTCCTTGTCCTGATATATATTTAACTTTCAGAAGTTGCCTTCTAATTTTCTCTATATAAATATTGTTTATAAAAATATATAGCACACTATTTTGTGCCATGATTTTCCTACTTATTATGAACATTTTCCCATAGCTATATTAACATTCATTAATGGATGTACCAAAATGTATTTGTCACACTCCTCAGTTAATCAAGCTTTGAGACAAAGTCTTACTCTGTCGCCCAGGCTGAAGTGCAGTGGCGTCATCATAACTCACTGCGATCTCAAACTCCTGGGCTCAAGCAATCCTCCTGCCTCAGCCTCCCAAGTAGCTGGGACTACAGGCATGTGCCACCACGCCAATTTTTTCTATTTTTGGCAGAGACAGGGTCTCCCTCTTGCTCAGGCTGGTCTCTAACTCCTAATTTCAAGGGATCCTCCCACCTCAGCCCCCCAGAGTACTAGGATTATAGGCATGAGTCTCTCTGCCCAGCCCAGGCTGTTCTATATAATCCTGTCCTGAACATTCTTATCCATAAATTACTGAAAACATTTAAAATAATATATTGCTACACAGAATGGAGTTCATACCTGTCAGCAATATATACAAATGTCTGTTTCCTGACACTTTTATCCACTCAGTATTATTCTTTTTCGTGATTCTACCTTTTGTTATTAAACTGTCTCAATTTCATCTACTAGTTCTAGCATTTGATGAGTACGTCTATATAATCTGTCTTAGCTATGTATTTTATTATCTTAGAGCGAGATTTCTAGCTTATTTTCACATAGCTGCCCTCTTATCCCATTTCGCTTTTCTGTAATTTCTATACTTGTATTCATTTTCTGTTGCTGCTATAACAAATTACCCCAAACTTAGTGGCTTTGATATACCACCAACTTACTGTCTCACAGTTGTGTGGGTCACAAGCTCAGCGTGGGTCTCTCTAGGTTAAAATCAAGGTGTTAACAGCCTGTGTTCCTTTCTGGAGGCTCAAGGGAGAAATCCTAAGCCTGGTGGTTAGCAGAGTTCAATTCTCTGTGTTTGTAGGACCGAAGTGCCCGTTTCCTTGCTGGCTGTCAGCTGAGGGCTGTTCCCGTCAGGACTCTTTGGCTTGTGTCCCCCCTTGCTCCATCATTAAAGCAAGCAGTGACAGGTGGAGTCCTCCTCATGTTGTGTCTCTTTGACCCTCTCTTCTGCTGCCCCCTTCCACTTTTAAGGACTCATGTGATTAGATTGGGCCCAGCTGGATAATCCAGAATAATTTCCCCATCTTTATGTCAGCTGATTAGAAATCTTAATCCCTTTTGCCATGTAAGGTGACATACTCACAGGTTCAGGATTAGGACATTTTGGGGGGAGCCCACCACACTTGGTAATTAGGACTTTTCCTGAGTGCATATGGTTATATCATAAAATCTTAGGAAGCTGTTTGTAGAGCCCACCTGATGGTCCAGTTTATCAGCCTGCTTGTCCACAGCAGCCTGACAGGGGGTGTGTCCCTCTAAAAGCCTAACTCACAGGCCTGACAACTGAGTGCCCCACACTCCAAGGCACATTTGGATTATGGTCTCGAGGATGCATTTTCTTGCCCTTACTGCCATTCTTCTGCCCTCTTACACCTTTCTGAACTTCCTTGTCAGGAAGAGCCACACCCGTATAGATGGAGATGTTTCACTTTGTCTTTCCAGGTGATCTAGAAGTGCCCAGTATGATTGCCTGCTGGCATCCTTTTTTTTTTTTTTTTTTTTGAGGCTCCCACATCTTTATGCATTTCCATCAGTAGGTAGGCCTTTCATATCCAGTCGTCTTCGTGTCCTGAGTTACGCCACCAAAAACAAAGGACTCCCCACCTCATAGCTCGTTAGGCAGCAGACATCTGGGTATAATGGATAGAAGCCTTGGCTAGGAATGCTAGTTTGTGTAGTAGGATTTGCCAGCTTTTGCCCCACCTGGCATGAGGAAGGGCACATGCTGCACTTCATAACAGCCCCACTCTCATCCCTTTTGTTAGCTTATATTTCTATGAACGAGTTCATTTTTGCAAATGTTTTGTGGATCCCTCCCCGTCCCAAAAGTCTGAAAAATTCTAATTCCTTCTAGAGCTATGATTCCTTTCCATGACAGTATCTATTTCTAGGAGCCTTGAGACTCACCAAACGTGATATCCTAGCAAAGCTGGTTTGAGCGAGATACCCACCTTCTCAGTGACTTCATCATCAAATACTAAAAATGGTATTCTGTGTGTGCCATCTTGGATAGATACCCTGGAGCAAATTTTCTGTGTTCCTTGGGATGTGCACCTTTATATGCCTCATTGCACTTAGAACTCTTCCAAGTGCTAGCCCTATGAAAGTAGAAGTGGCTGCAGTATTTCTCGAGGCTAATTTGGCGGAGCACTGTTAGAAATTTACCATATGGATATGTCCACCCTACCTCCCTCAAATTCTGCCAAGGTATGTTGACAAATAGGTTTATAGCAGCTTTGTTTATACTGGCAAAAAAGCAGGAAACTAACACCAGGGGACTGGTTAAATAAATTATAGCATACTATAAGATGGAAAATTTTCAGGTGTTAAAAAGAATTAGGCAGATATGTATGAGCTGATACATAAAAATGTCCCACATATGTGAATAAACAGCAAAGTGTGGAATATGGGCATGTATAAAGATCCCTTTGGAATAACTATAGAAAGAATTCAGGTGTGTGTGTGTACACACAGAGAGAAATGGATGTATTTGCAGGTATGGACATTTTTTTCCTGGAAATAATCACCAGAAAGAGAGCTGCAGGGAGAGAGACTTAGAAATGGGGGAAAGGAGGCTTATAAATTCATGTGTTTGAATGTTTTAGCTTTCTATTTTGTTCCTTTCTGTGTTGATAAAAATATTTTTCAACTATTTAAGTCAACTGGAGTTATCTACATAGTGAAATTATTGGCCTTCTTTTTACCCTTGTCTATAATTTCTAATATAAAAGTTCTATTACACAAATTCCCACACCCCTCCACAAAGTAGGAAAGACACCCCTCATTATCCCTGATCAGCCATGAGGAGGCAGAAAACGGACCCAGCCCAGCTGCACACAGACCTCTTGTTGCCTGTTCAGTGTGACGATATAATTTATCTTCCACGCAGAGATGCGCTTGCAAGTGAGACGGGGTGCTACCCAGACAGGCCTAGATCAGTACTGTTCCAGACACTCTGGGATGGTTGGTTTGCCGCCTGTAGGTCGGCGATTGTTTCACTACTTGTAAAAAGATTTCCCTGCAGTGCCTCATTGGTGTCTGTTTCGTGTATTTTGGTTGTAGCAAAATCTGTTAAGGTGAAAATCAAGCTCAATAAAAAAGATGAGAAAGGCCGGGACAAAGGCAAAGGCAAGAAAAGGCCAAATCGAGCAAAAGCCAAACCTGTAGTGAGCGATTTTGACAGCGACGAGGAGCAGGATGAACACGTAAGTGACGCCGGTGCAGACCAAAGGCAGAGAAGTCCCCCCGCTGCTCGTCTGCCCCTCACCCTACCATGCCCCCTCCGCCTTTTCACTTTATTATCCAGAGAGGGAAATGTCAAGATTTGGTGAGATTTCATTATGTAGAGATATGAACAGAGCTACATGATTTAGAACAAAGAATTTGGGGCTTTGTTTATTGCTTTTTTAATAGTCTTCGAAAATGACAAACTACTAAATCAAATTCCCTCTTTCCCCGTTTTTAATCTTCCCACATGCTTGCTTATAAATATGGTTCTCTCCACGGCCAGTTAATATTTTATATCCATCACACCCAGCGTGGTGCCTAGTATAGAGCAGTCGATTAAATGGAATAATGAAAAAAAGTGTTTTGGTGTCAGAGTTTCAGGTTTGAGTTGATTCTTAAGGGGTCATTTAAAAAAAAAAAACAACAACAAAAAAAAAAAACCTCAAATGACTTTTTAAGTACCTAGAGGTGTTATTTTTAATATTTGGAAAATTCAAGGAGCATTTATTGAGCTAGACCCTGAAATAGGCACCTTTCTGTATGGTAGCATATTTAATGCTTAATATCAGCATCGTTAGATGTCACTCTCGAGATATTACCTGTTATAGAGACCAGTACTTAGCTTATGTGTGTTTTGCTGCAGGTCATGTAGCAAGTAAACAGCAGAGGCTGAATTATAACTCAGGCTAGTGCACCATCCCTGACTGGGCAACGAGGTAGAACAGCGGGCAGAAACTTCTAATACCTTGCCTTTTGAAGCACCCTGCATTGTACCCCTTTCACTTTTTCCAGAGCAGCTTGGGTTTTCTGCTGCCCATACTTTATTCTTCCTGGAAAGATAATTTTTCATTTTAGTGTATAGGTTAGTTTGATTTGTCTTCAACTCAGTGCCATTTTGGCAAAGTTTCAGAATTATTACCCCATCCAGCCTTGACTCTTGAGAAAAGCATTTTCAAATACATTTAAAATACTATGATTTCTTTAGAAGACTTACCAGACATCAAATTCATGTTTTTTTTTTTTTCCTCCTATGCATTTCTTAAAACATAGGGCTCAAAGTAGAAATTATTAGCCATAAACTTTTCAAGCCAGAGTACAAACACTAGCATAGATGGTGGGTATTGCTTTGGGATTTTCAGTTAGGAACTCCCTTATTCAGCTTAGAAATACATTAATGAGGCATTGACAGCGTCTGTCTTCCCACAGAAAGATATTTGGAGGGTTAACTGTTTCCAAACTACTTTGCCTCTTGATGGTTTATCATACCTTCGGTTTGCTCGCATGCGATTTTATTTCATTTTGTCGTTTTACTTGTAGGAACAATCAGAAGCAAGTGGGACTGACGATGAGTGATCAATATGGACCTTTTTTCCTTGGTGGAACTGAATTCCTTCCTCCCCCGTTTCATTTCTGCCCAGTGAGTTCATTTGTCATATGGGCACTGGGTTGTTTCTATATCATCATCATCTATAAACTAGCTTTAGGATAGTGCCAGACAAACATATGATATCATGGTGTAAAAAAACACACACACAAATATTTGTAACATATTGTGACCAAATGGGCCTCAAAGATTAAAACAAACAAAAAAAAGCTTTTGATGGAAAATATGTGGGTGGATAGTATATTTCTATGGGTGGGTCTAATTTGGTAACGGTTTGCTTGTGCCTGGTTTTATCACCTGTTCAGATGAGAAGATTTTTGTCTTTTGTAGCACTGATAACCAGGAGAAGCCATTAAAAGCCACTGGTTATTTTATTTTTCATCAGGCAATTTTCAAGGTTTTTATTTGTTCAGTATTTTTTTTTTTTACACTGTGGTACATATAAGCAAATTTAATAGGTGATAAATGTACAGTAGTTAGATTTCACCTACATATACATTTTTCCATTTTATGCTCTATGATCTGGAAAAAATGCTTTTTGAATTGTATAAGATTTATGTCTACTGTAAACATTGCTTAATTTTTTCGCTCTTGATTTTAAAAAAGTTTTGTTGAAAACGCTATTGAATATTGCAATCTATATAGTGTATTGGATGGCTTCTTTTGTCAACCTGATCTCCTATGTTACCAATGTGTATCGTCTCCTCCCTAAAGTGTACTTAAATCTTTGCTTTCTTTGCACAATGTCTTTGGTTGCAAGTCATAAGCCTGAGGCAAATAAAATTCCAGTAATTTCGAAGAATGTGGTGTTGGTGCTTTCCTAATAAAGAGATAATTTAGCTCGATAAATGCTGCCTCATATTTTTGAGTTCCATGGGATCGAAACCCTTATGCCTGAAGTGGCAGGTTCCTGTAGAGGGCTGGGCATGCTCTTGCTACGGAACACTTGGTAGGGAAAAAGAGAGCCATTCTCCTGGAATGATCCCGGTGGGTCACAAGGAAGAAGAGTCTATTGGATCTATGACTTTAAACTATTAACAGCAGGAGAAATACTGCCGTGGATCAAGCCACATGAAGTCCCTACTCGGCCTTTTCTAGTAGCTTAAACTCTACTCATTAGCCTACTTATTAATCTATATATCTTTTGATTTTGAAAGATTTCAAAAAGATTCAATTGAAAGACTGGTTCAGTGAACACCCTTATACCCTCCCTACTAAGATTCAACGATAATTAATATTTTATCCCTCCCCTTAATTTGACCAAACCATTGGAAAACAACTTACAGTCATTATGACACTTCACCCCTAATACTTCAGTATATATCTCTTATCATTCCAAAAGGAGTGAGCAATAGTCCCCTAGTATCTAATATACAAGCCATAGTCACATTTTCCCAATTATCCTAAAATTATATTTCTTTGTTCTTTACCAGGATCTTATCAAGTTTAACACTTTACATTTGATCGTCATATTTGTCTCAAAAAACCAGCCCAAAGATTGGCACATTCTTTCTTAAAGAACTCATGGTGATAGGATCAAGTAGTTTTCCTTCATCACTAATTTTCTTAGAATGGTTTAAGGAGAACTCCAGGATCCTTATATAACATGAGGATTTGCCAATGCTGTATCCTAATTTGAATCTTGAAGGAAATTTGATCCGTACAGAGTACAACACTCCTGAGAAACTTCTTTGTCTTTCTAAATGTCAATTCTCCTGTCTGAATTGCCAGTTAATCTGAACATCAAAGGAGGAGTTCCCCTTCTTGGTTTGTTTCTAGGATTTGCTAACTGCAATAAGATAGAAAACCTCCACGAAAGAGTAAACCATATTAGCTTTTCTTGCTGAGATGATTTGGTACCAGTTCAAAGAAAACAATCTTCCTTCCCTGCTTCTACTTCTATATTTTCTGTGCTCTTTGCAATCTCATCTTGGCCTCAGAAGCATTGCTATTCAAAAGCCATCAAAACCATTGTCTTTATGGGTCAGGAGTTCTGTTGTGTGACCCTTCTGCTGCTGTCTTTGGTGTATTGTTCTCCTGGCTATAGTGGAAACGAGAGCCGGGGAAAATCTGCAGGTACCTTCGTGGTGTGCGGTGGCTGCAGAGTGAGCACACACCAGCAAGAGGCGGGCTGCCCTGAAGAAGGCATAATTCTTGTTCCCGTTTTACAAATAAGGATAACGCATAGAAGAGATTAAATAGCAATGGCCTGAGCACAAAAAGCTGGATTTAGAAGTTAAATTTGACTCCAGCACCCACATGCCTTGCATCTTCCCCGCCTGCCCCCAGTGAGTGAGGCTTGGAACTGATCTTGTTGATTAGCCTCAGTACCCCTTTGCTCAGCACTTGCTGACACAATTGGCTCACAGACAAGTCCTGACTCAGTCATCTGGTTCCCATGGCTAAGGATGGAGCTTTCCTCTGAGACCCATTTTTCTTGGCTGGGCCCTGCTACCATGGCTCTTCATTCACTGGCTTCCACAAAGGCCAGGACCTTGGCTTGTAGGCCCCAGCTACATTTGGATCCTAAAGGCTACTGAGACCCAGCTGACTTAGATATCACTACTGCCATGATCCACCCATCAGATGGGGGTCTGCCATGATGAGTATAGGTAGTGATCAAGTTCACGTTGTCCCACCCATTGATAGGACCAAGGGCTTGCTGAGAAGTGTTCTTTAGACCCCATGGTCTCCACAGGTGCTAGATAGGGCATGCTTAGTGTACAGCTATAGCTTCAAGCCAAGTCCTCCAGTTCCACATCCCAACAGAATGTCTTGACTGCCCCCTACCCCAGCCTGGCCTTTTAGCCAAGTCAGTCCCTCAGCTCTAGTTTCTGTCTCTTCTATGCAGTTGATGCGTATATCATGGCTGTGTCTGCCAGAGTTATGGCTGTGCTCAGATAACTAGCAATATTACCTTAAATGAGATTATTTTCATAGGTCTGACCCTTAGGATTGGGATGTTCTAAATATGAGCCTCTTGATAGTCATTAAAAATATCACATAGTCAGAATATACTGGAACCAGATGCATTGTAGCAGGAATATACGGCTTTTTTAAAGACCTAATTTTTATGAGAGATGATGATCATGACTCTGAATTGGGAATCAAGTATGTGGATTATTCTGGGCTTTGCCACAGACTTGAGTTTCAATTTCCTCTACAAAATGTGAAGAGTAAGCAAGTTGTCCTATAAATCTAAGCCTTATAGTTGAGATATACCTCTATGTTGTCAAAGGTTTTCTTTATGTTAGAAAACATGACTTGTAAATTACATTTTGTTAAAAAATCCAGAAAGATTCACAAAATCAAAAAATAGACCAGAGATAGCCTCTAAGGGCCCTTCAAGCATCGATCTCTATTATTTCATTCCTGGGGAACAAACGACATGAGGCCATATTGTGATCTTTTTTTTTTTTTTTGAGACAGAGTCTCACTGTGTTGTCCAGGCTAGAGTGCCGTGGTGTCATCTTAGCTCACAGCAACCTCAAACTCCTAGGCTCAAGCGATCCTCCTGCCTCAGCCTCCCGAGTAGCTGGGACTACAGGCATGTGCCACCATGCCCGGCTAATTTTTTCTATATATTTTTAGTTGTCTGATTAATTTCTTTCTATTTTTAGTAGAGACGGGGTCTCGCTCTTGCTCAGGCTGGTTTCGAACTCCTGAGCTCAAACAATCCACCCGCCTCGGCCTCCCAGAGAGCTAGGATTACAGGCGTGAGCCACCGCACCCGGCCATATTGTGGTCTTGATTTAGATCACTGGTACAGGCATATACACCCAATATCCAATTGTCATTCTAGTAAAAAGAAAGTCAACATAAAAGGGAATAACAGAAAAAGCTGTATATTTTTTCTCTCTCTGAAACCGCTTTTCTGCCATATATGTTACAAAGCAGCAATCTTCATTTGTGCTTGACTTAAACCTCATTCAGATTGATATGATATAATACTTGTGGGAAATATCTTTGGTTTGCTTAACAGAAAGGTAGAAACATACTCTCCTCTTATGAATAAATGTTTTTCCCACAAAAACTTTATATTGGCAATCCATCTTACTACACTGGTATCTTGGAGGAATGGGCAAGTCTAATTCTTTTTTTTAAATTTACTAAAGAAGAGCTGTGTCAAACTAGATAAAGTACAATTTCTGTCTATATATACTGTCATAACATGTGTGAATTTCTGTTTTGCTTGGGGAGGGTAATGAAAAATAATGGGCATAGGCTGAGAAACAATGACTGATGGGGCTAGAATTGCTAGACCTTGGCCCAGATGAGCTGTATTCATCCCTGGTGTTGTGTAGGGCACTGAACTTAATGGAAGGCAAGTGACATATTCCAAATGACTGAGCCCCTTTATGCAAGAAGGTGTTTGTGTTCTGCATCACCTTCAGTAAGGGTTTTCCAATGGGATTTTCCAACTTGAATAAAGCAAGGCAACTAAGTCTAGAGACTACAGGGAAGCCAGTTTCCTGTTTCTAAATACTGTTTTTTGTTATGTACAAGAAAGAGTCCTCCTCATCTGTGAACCCAAGAGCAGTTATGAAGCAAGGCTCACTGTGGGATTATAAACCTCAGAGAGAATGGACTCAGCCCCTCAAGCAAATATATGGGTTTTCTTTTTTAATTCTCTTGTAAAAATGTTAATTAAATTCCTCCTCTAGGATTATAAAATGGACATGTGTCCACCACAACCAGAGAACTAATACAAAGAAAATTAATTTAGAATCTGCCCCCCACCAGGCAATCAGCTTTAATAGCCTGATGTGGTTACTTCTGTACCTTTCTTCATGCCCACATAAACACATACAGGCATAGAGTCTATGAAAATGCCCACTCTGCAACTATTACAAATACAACCTGTTAATAAGATGAAGTTGAATTTATTGCTTACTGTGGTAAGAAAGACCACCACCTTGATGGAGTTTGGTAGTTTCTTTGAGGGAGAAGGTCGAGTTCAGATTTTATTGAAATTTAAAGTGTGTCTTTCAATGCAGGGATTTGATTAGGATTGGGTAAAGGTCATGACAGTAGTTTAGGATTGGTGGAACTATTAATAGAAGGGTGAGGATTTTGAACAGCGATCAAAGAATCCTACAGCATAGCTATCAGTTGATGCTTTCTACTGAAGGGTTGATGTCTCTCTCAGGAAGCCCCTATATTGAACGATTTGCCTGGGTAAGAGTATTCTGGAATACTAAAGTGGTAATGAAGACAATGGAATAGGAAAATCATTTTAATGTAGCCAGTAAGCTGTGTGAGAATAGATGGCTTTAGTTCTATGCTCTACTTTAGGATAGTTTAGGTTCTTTGTTTTTTAAAGCATGCCAGTATTCTCTGCAACTTACCTTGCTCACTCAACAATACACTGAATATTTTCCTCTGAGTCAACAGAGTTTGAACTCATTTTTTTTGCAGGACAGACAAAAACAAGTACATCAGAGAAAAGTTTAGCTTCTGACTCCTTTAGTTACAGCAAACAGTAAACACAGCCTAACCCCTAGCCATATAAACATAAAACCTCACACTAAGGCCTATTTATCTCAATTCTTTTTACCCTGCACATCATATGCAGCTTGCAACAACAACAAAAATTACAAAGCACACTAAAAGATAAAAAACACATTTTGAAGAGGCAGAGCAAGCATCATAACCAGACTCAGATATAGCACAATGGGATCCATGAGAAAGTTGAAAACCAACACAAAGAAACCAAAAAAAAAAAAACCCTCTCAGCTTTTATAAAGCAATAACACAAGGGCAAAGCAACTAAGTTATAATCAACATAATGTCTGGAAGAGTATCTCACATGTCAATATTAACATTAAATGTAAATAGCCTTTTA